AGAGAGAGAGAGAGAGAGAGAGAGAGAGAGAGAGAGAGAAAGACGGGTGTTTGGTTGGGTTCTGGTAGGGCTCCGCCGGAGAAGATACTGGCAGCTTTGCCGAGGGCAAAGAGAGACGGAAAATGAGAGAGAGTGAAAATGAGAGAGAGTCGAGAGAGAAGAGAGAAAAGCTTGAGCGAAATGATTGATACAGTGGAATAACTCTATCTATTTGGCATAGCTATAATGGGTAAATTGTAGCTATGGAAAGTAATTAAATTAAAAGGTAGTTATCATCCATAAATAGATCTTAGATTTAGCTATGGCAGGTAAATTTTGGATGAAATTCAAAAATAGCCAGATTTACAAGTGGTAATTGAAAAATAGTCACAGTTTCAAAAGTAATCGAAATTTAGCCATTTTTCGTGTAAAGATAAATCTGAACGAAAACACTATTCAAAATCCGAAAAATATTCCAGCATAATATACTGGAGTTCGAATTTTTTACATGTGAACTTCTAGCATAATATACTGGGTTCCAGCATAATAACTGGAGTTCCGGTATAATATACTAGACTTCCAGCATAATATATTGAAGTTCCAGCATAATATGCTGGAAGTTCATACACAGGTGCTCCAATCTCCAGTATATTATGCTGGAACTTTTCGTGTGCTGGAGTGCATAATATGCTGGAAGTTCATACACAGGTGCTCCAATCTCCAGTATATTATGCTGGAACTTTTCGTGTGCTGGAGTGCATAATATGCTGGAAGTTCATACATAGTTGCATCAATCTCCAGTATATTAATGCTGGAATTTTCCGTGTTGTGGCTAGGCGGTGCTATTTTCACCTAAATTTTCCTTAAAAGTTGGTCCATTTGATAAAGGGCCAAGGAGCAGACGGACGTCACGTAAAAATCCGGCCAATTAGTTAAATCGTTGGGATTAAACTTGTACGGTCTTTAAAGCACATTACTAAGATCTAAAGTTTGCTTCCTTGTATGCACATCACTACTTTCTTGTTTTGCCGATGTACGATTTGTGTAGGGTGTCACACTTCCCACTTTAGAGACATAACATTCTTGCAGAGATTTGTCCCACTATTATCTTAAAGATATGAATTCACTTTAACTTAGTTGAGCTTTATCTCACCGCCTATGTTGATGATTTGTAATTTCATTGAACTAAATTGAATGTTGAAGTTTGCCACTCGCGATGTGATTATTATACCATGTTTACTTTGTAATCACTAGATTCTGAGACTTGCTTCTTTAAATCCGACACCTCTTCTATATTTTGCCATTTCAAATTTGCCCAAGGTGTTAAACCTCAAAACGACAACGGCAAAAGGACTAGGGGTAGAGACCTGATGTTTGGATCAATTTTTCCCTAAAAAAAAATCAAATCAAGTAATTCGGTTCTTTAACTATTGGAACCAAATTAATTAAATCGGTTTTTTATCGATTCTGTTTTTGTCGGTTTTTATCGATTTTTCGGTTTTTTATCAGTTTTTTCTTAAATATGAGATATACACTACCAAACACATATTCCGCCTACTACATTTTCAACGTAACATTACCAAACCAATTGCTCTTTGAGAAATCTATCATTTACCAAGATGTATTGATGATAATTGAATAAAATAGTGATGAATAATTTAATTACTCAATTAAAAATTATTTATTTTTAACAAAAATAAATTCTTGTACTTAGCAAAAGAAAACTACCATTCAAACTAGAATGTAAAAGCAAACAATTAGATTATTATAATAGCAAATAACTAGACTAAAAATACAAACGACTAATTGTACCATAAAATTTTAGAAACTTTATATAAAAATATACATATATATATAGGTGTAAATAATAATTTAAATAGCTACTTCTGTAGTCGGTTTGGTTCGATTTTTTCGGTTATTTTTTTTATTTAAACCAAAACCAAACCAAACCTAAAAAGTATTAATTTTTTTGGTCGGTTTGGTTCGGTTTTCGGTTTGGTTCGGGTTTTTATGAACATCCCTATTTGCAATGCAATATCATTTCATGCGGTAAAAGTTTACATTGCCCATCCATTTAGGGGTCGTTTGGTAGGGCGCATAAGAATAATATTGAATATGGTGTATTTGTAATGCTGGTATTAGTTATGCTGACATATTTCTTATCAATTGTTTGGTTTGATGTATTAAAGTATTGCACAATTTCTAAAAAAATTATTTGTTTGCAAAAATACTCTCAAAACCAATCCATTACTTTATCTTTTTAAAAAAAACAGATATGTTGAGGAATGTTTTATATGAAAAATATTTTTAAAAACTTATTTGATTTGCCTACTTATATTGTAGTATAAAATTGAATATTTATTTATAAAAAGAAAATATGCTAAGTATTTATTTATTTATTTACTAGGGATATAATTTTATTTCACTTTCTTGGATTATTTCAAACTTGCATTAATATAATAGCTTATTATAATCAAACATAAATTTTAAAAGATAATTTTATCTTTAACTAAGCTAATGCATGCATTAAAACCCATTGCATTGTTAATATCATAGTTTCATATGCATAAGTTATGCATAGGATAATAACTAATGCATAGATTCAAAAAGGATATCCAACAAAGTATTACTAATACATTAAGCTAATGTATGTATTATTTTTATCTAATACATCCTACCAAACGACCCCTTACTACACTTCTGATTAAGTATTTATTATTTACTTGAAGATTCAGTTGTCCGTTGTACTAATCAAAAGTAAAAAGATGATGATGATATGATAATAACCTCTATCAAATAAGGGGGTACAAGCGGGCGGACATATATCGTATGGAACCACTTTGATCTTATTTATCGATTGCCCAAAAGGGACTATGGATACCATTCTGACTAACAAAAAATGAACCCACCACTTCCTTGTGGTGCCTAAACCCGTTGAGACTCGATTCATTTAGGAAAATTAAAAAGGAAGAAGGATCAAAAATAAAATTCTAACTACATTCACACTCTGTTACACTTTGTGTCCATTTATACCCTTACCAATAGCAAACCATCTCTTATTTGACCTTGACCATAACAGAGCTCCAACCTAAAGTATAATGAATTAGCCCCAATAACTTGGGTCTTTTCTCCCAAAGTCCATGGTAAAGCTCCGTTAAATTCAAGGCAAATAGGAGACAATTTGCCAAGAGTATGAATGACACCAATATAACGGAGAATAAATAAAGAGAAAAGAACCAATCATAGAAATCCAGAAATAGATAAAATAAAATCATACTCTTCACATCAGCCAAACTGACTACATTCATGCAGACATAACCTGCTTGATAATTCCAAACGCGAACATAACAGGATAAAAGCTATAAGAGCTGAAAGGAGTACAGAGCCCTTGGAACACATGCTTCTACACAAATACTGAGACAGTGCTTGAACCTCTAATATTCATCTCTGTAAATTCACGAAATGATTACTCCATCACTTAAGATGTTGGGAGATATCTTTAGGCATCACTTTTCCACCACCAATCCCCACATTGATATATGCCGTCAGATGAGATGAATATTGATCCAAATACCATAGAGCAACTACTTTTACAGCTTTATCCGGCGGACATACAGCGAAAAGGAAACAACGACAAATGCCAAAAACTACATAAACCAGGGGACTCACCAACAGTCAGTCTCTGACCGGACCTATCCAGTGTCAGTATGTACTGCTAAATTCTTTTGGATCACTTAAATTTTGTCATTAGATCTAAGATGAACTCCATCGCTCAGCAACCATGAAACAGCCAAGTTATCCATTCTATCAGCCTCTCAGGAGTCGCATACCTTCAACTTGAGATTTCTGCAAGAAAAAAATGGCTCCAATAAATACCTCAACCTCTTTGCCTCTCATCCTAAAGTTATTTTGGGGAAAGAAAGGGGGCGTCAGCATAACAAATTATTTTATTTTATAAAGCAGTATAACAAAGTATAGCACATTGGATGACGCTTTATGTCAGGCTTTTCCTATTTCTGGACATTCGAGAAGAAATGTAAGAGGACACAGAACATTCAATCATATTGGGAAATTGACAGGGTCAATCATCTTTTACAAAAACTGGAAGCAGCGAAATTGATGGAGGAGTAACAAGATGCCACTGTGTGGACACTGGACAGGCAATAATAATGGTATTTTTTCCGTTAGATCTTATTATGCAAGGCCGCTCGAACAGGATAATACCACAACTAGGGGTGTGGTTTGGTTCGATTTTCATCATAACAAACAAATCCAATTATTTTCAGTTCCGTTTTTCAATTTTTTGTCGGTTATATTTGTTGGCTCGTGAAACAGAAATTCATGATCATTTTCTCCCTAAAAACATCATAATTACCCTGTTTCATAATATCTAACTTTCATTCATATATGTTTTTCAAGCCTAACCAAATTGTAATAATTAGAAAGAATAAAGAAACGACTCCTAAAAGTCTGCAATAGGAATCCAAAATTCGACATGAAATCTAAACAATGAAATGCTTTGTTTACTTTGTTGATGAAATATCTCCAAATCAAAAATATACTCCCTCCGTTTCAATTTATGTGAACCCATTTGACTGGGCACGGAGTTTAAGAAAAGTGAGAAGACTTTTGAATTTGTGGTGTAAAATGAAACACATATATTTTGTGTGGCTATAAATCATTGCATAAAGGTAAATTGTTTCCAAATAGGGAAAGGGGTCATTCTTTTTTGCACGGACTAAAAAGAAAATAGGTTCACATAAATTGAAACGGAGGGAGTATATATATATATGAGCTTAATAAATATATATAAGCTTGTGAAAATGAAAGAACAAAGAGATTGAAGTATTTAAAAGACACTTGCTAATTAAGTGACCATATACATTAGAATCAAACATTTAAAAAAACAAAATGGATCCTCTATAATAGCTCTGTTAATGAAATCCGACATATCACGAATATGTCTAGACTAATTTATAAAGAAAAAATCATATAAACTTTTAAATTATTTATAAGAATAAATATATTTACATTGGTCTGGTTCGATTTTTTCTTGTCCAAAACAAAACCAAATACATAACGGTTTTTAAAGTCGGATTTCAATTATTCATGAACACCCCTATTGGTGCATGTGGGGTGGTCTTTATGGTTTTAAGGTTATAATAAAGCAAAACAAGTTTGATTTTGTGCATAAATTTTGAGTCTTTTGTTTATGAATGGTGTCCAAAATGGAGTCTACACTTACATTGCCTTATTATTTATTTGTAATGATATTTACGTGTTTGGTATTATTATTTTTTTGAGAAGGTTATTTACACGTTTGGTATTCTTTCACAGCAATTTGGATGCCATACTTTTAATGGGGAAAAGAAGTATGATCTTGATGTTCCAATAAAGTTTACTACAATGATTTCATGTAAAAATTAAAGCTTTTTACATGAAATTCCTTGGAGGTGATAGAGACAGTCTTGTGTTTTGAAGCCTGATCATGATATCGCCCGATGTATTCTTGGATATCCTATGCTTTCTAACAGTCTGTGGCACAGCGTCGACCACATATTATTCCCAATAAATGTTTCTCAACCATGACAATATTGGCAAGATTATTTTCAAAGATAGATACCTATATGTGTATGATTTCATGCATGGTACAACTCATAAAACAAAAGTTCAAAAAGTGGTTGATGCATATTCTGTTATTATGACTCACCTCTTGCTCTTGACTTTTTTGGCAAAAGAAAAAACATCAAATTGGATAAAGGTCCATAGAAAGGTAAGACATTGGTGGATTCGTTCAATGTCGTTACGGTTGAATACGTTATTCCACATATGGAAAATGCAAGTATCTTCACGGACATTGAATGGATCCACCCCTTTCTTTATACAGACCTTATCCAATTCGATGTCATTCCTTTTTTAACCAAAAAAATCAAGAGCACACAAGGTGTGCGCGATAATAACAGAATAGACAACAACCATTGTACGAACTTTGATTTATGAATTGCACCATACTTCGAATCATACACATATAAGCATTTATTTTTGAAATATAATCTTGTCGGTATCTGATGCCACTGTTCAAACATATTTATTGGGAACAATATGTGATTGACGGTGTGAAAGGACTGTTTCAAAACATAAAATCTCCAAAAATATACTAGACGATTTTATGATCAAGTTTCAATACAATATTGTCTCTACTATTTCCAAGAAATTTCTTATAAAGAGCTTTAATCTTGAGATCAAATAAAGAATCCTTAATAGTGAACTTCACATGAATACCAAGATCATACTTTTCTTTTCTTCTCAAATAATAAAATATGGAATCCAAATGCTATTAAAGAATATCAAACATGTAAATATCTATACTATATTAAAAGCATGAAGGCCCTTAGCGAAATGTCATTCGCCTTTTTTACCCATTAAAAATAGATTTCACACTAGACAAAATAGTCATTTACTTATTTCTCTAATAATTAGTAGGCATTTAATTATTTTCCTAATATTTAAGATTAAATATTTAATTAGTTTTCTAATAATTAGTATTCTTTTAGGTTTAGACGTTTTGAAGTCTTTTTTTCTCCGTTTGGCACAATAAATCCTTAGCCAAAAATAAAATTCTACATATTGCCTTTGAGAACAATTTAGTACAAAAATAACTTCTATCAAGTAGTATCAACTTGACAAAAGTTACGGAATATTCTGCACCGCCTTGTAATGTGATTGGAAATTGATAGATCTATTGTTGAGTCCACATCAAAGTCTAACATACAAAACTATTACATGTACTCTTATCGCAAGTTAGAGTTGGTTTCCTTCAACCAAATCATCAGTACTGATCATTTGGTTCTTGATCAGATTCGTAAGTTCGGCCTTTTTTTTGTGTCTTTAGTTTTCCTTTGCTATTAAGTATAACATTGATTTTTTGTCTATATTAAACTCTTGTGTATTTTTCATATAGAATCAGTGTGTCTTCAAAATATTGATATGTGAAGTTGATTATAGAATTTATTTGCCGGTTGATTCTCTATTTGTTATGGTCTATTAATTCATTAACGTCTATATGTTCTCCAGATTCTTTGAAGCACTTGAGTGAAGATAGTATGTGTATTTTTTTCTTTTTTCTTTTTAATTCTGTGTGTTTTTTTCCTTTTATTTTTTATTTGTATTGATCATGGAATTTTCGAATTCTAAATGTCATGTTTATTTTAAGCATGTTTTAACCTGAGAAAACGTCCCGTCAAAACAAACGCTCAATTATTAAATTTTCTTCCTAAATTTGCTATACAGACTAAACTGATAAAAGGATATTGATAGATTATATAACAATGCTTTACATATAGTGAAAAATCAATAATTACAATTATATTTAATCAAAACTATTTATTGAAGTAAGATAAACAAAATGTATCTAAAGATACTTCCATCACCTAATGAATCGAAATTATAAAGATGAGAGATATTTCATTACCTAATGAATCGAAATTATAAAGATGAGAGATATTTCATTACCTAATGAATCGAAATTACAAATTTTAAAGATGAGAGATATTTCATTACCTAATGAATTTTAGAATTACAAAGATAAAAGAGAAAGATATTTTTTTGTATAAATTTGTAATGATTAATAGGATACGTCTCAAGCACTACTTTATATCTATTTAGTATAAAATAAAATTAAAATATGGAACATTTTTTAGTTGAAGGTAATGATTAGTGATTGAGAACTGCTCTTGTGGCAGTTTATTCTTTTATTGAGTGATGTATATAGGATCAATATTTATTAGTTTTAGTAACATGTACTATTATTTTGTAACTCAAGCACAATATTTCAATATAATATTTATATGTTTTTAAAAAAGTCTTTTACCACTTGAGATAGTATACACGTGCAACGCGCATATCACAAGACTAGTCAGTCCAAAAAAATATAAAGGCAATGTTACTCCATTTTTAAATCATTCATAAGCAAAACACATTCAGAAGTTACGCACAAAATCAAACATGTTTTGCTTTCTAGTTATAATACAAAAAACCCACCCGAAATCACCTTTAAAAAGCACCAGAAAACCACCCCAACATGCACAACAAAACACCAACCCAGTTAGCAATGGATACACCACAAAGAAATGCACTAGAATTATAAAATGAAAAAAATGCAACAGAAACATCTGAACAATATGCAACACTAGAATTATAGAGAACACTCACCTTACATAAAAACCTAGATTGACAGCCATCCAAAAAAATACACCTTACTAGCAGTGAAAGGTGGTAATTTTTTCAACCTTTTCAATAGAGAGCCTTGTTAGAATGAAAATCTTATTTATGAGGAAATACGCATTACTATGATTTGGAAAGTGAGGGTCCTCACAAAAGTTGCATGTTTTGGATGGATTGCGACTCATGGCGCATGTTTAACTCAAGACAACTTGCAAATAAAAGGGTAAGTGTTGTGTAATAGGTGTTTTTTGTGTGAAGGTCCTCACAAAAGCTCTCACCAGTTGGGGGGGGCAGAGAATGGATAATAACATTAATAGTAATAATAATAATCTGGACTATTTGGTTAGCGAGATATCATAGGTGTTTTGGTGGAAAGGAAGAACATATTGCTTTTGTAAAAGATAGAGGTCTTCAGTACTTGTATTTTTTAACAGGGGTGTGAATGAATTAGGGAATCTTTTGGATTTAATTGACTCCTTGAGAGCAGAATAGAGTTGAATATCTCCTTCTTGTACATATTTTATTCCTCCTGGGTACTTTAAAATAATTACTTATCCAAAAAACAATCACTGAACAAACAAAGTGAACCATGTATAATCCCTGGGTTTTTTTGAGAAAGGTATAGTCCCTGGGTTTTCTGAACTATTTTAATGAGTAGACTTCATTTACCTCCTAGACTCCTTGGTGTGCCCGATATATCTACCCCATAAATCCTCTATTACATCACAATGACATGTAAATGGGGCATGCTGGAAGAAAGCCTTTGTAGACTTCCTTTTTGTTTTCAGCATATTAAACCAAGGGCCACAACTACTTTTTAAACAAATAAGCCTTGCAACTATTTATCCATACCAAACTCTGTAATGGATATTTTCCTGGCTAGGCATCTTACATCATTTTGACGTTTGGTGTAACACTTGAATTACCTCACAAGTCACTACTCCCAACCACATTTAAACTTCATTTTATGGGAGGCAAAATGAAACTGGAGAAAGCCCCAAAAAGATAATTAAGAAAAGGTTTGACCACCAGCATGAGAATATCATAATAACTTGATTGAATGACATCAAAATGAGGAAATTGTCAACTACTCAAAGGACGTTCAAGTTCTGCCTAAACTTGTACATAAAATTGAGAGCTAAAAGAGATTATACTCCATTTTAGTTTAAGTAGATAATTATTTAAAAAAATAGTAGATTCCAGAAGATTCTGGTCCTCTTTTGCCCTAAAATAGAACCACTGCAAAACCAATTTAAATTCAGTTCACATTCTCCGAGGTTGAACTAGTCCAGTTTTGAACCAACAATTCATCAAATTGAAAATGGTCATTCGTTGATCATTTCTTTTTAAGCATCGACTTAAAGCAACTGCATATTGCATAGATTAAATCCATACAAAACTGTATAGTTTATACAAATCTAGTCAACTGCACATTGACTTCTGATTCAAATAAATTAGTCATGTATCAAGCAAACCTAGTCAAATGCTTTTAACACATTTTTAATGATAAACAGGTAATAACTTTTAGTGTCCAGGCCAGCCTGCACACACCTCGATTATTACATCGAGTACCTGCTACCTCCACGAACCAGATTAAATGCAAGTAAAAATAAAGTCAAACGATGATCGGCAATTGACACAGACAGAAAATGCATCAGCTCATGTAGCTCAGGACAATAACAAATTGCATACGTGAAGCATACCTGTACAAAAGACTCACCATTGGTACACCATCAACCATGCAGCCAACTGATCACTGGCAATATATAGCCTGATCTATGTGCGGCGGAATTTGCTTGATCTCTGTTCCTAGCTCTTGTTCAATTCGATACCTGTCAGAGACAATCACAGTATCATTAGTTCATTACCAAGTATGTTAACTAAATGACCTTCTATTGCAAAAGAAGGCATACAGATTGAAGCGATCCTCAAATGTAATCAGGTTCACAGCTAAACCAAGATGCCCAAATCTCCCTGAGCGCCCAACCTGCAACAATATATGTAATAAGAAAATAGCACATAAAGAGAGAGAGAAAAATGATTCACTCAGCAAAGATTTGTCATCTATACCCTGTGTAAATACGTCTCTGAATTCTTGGGGAAATCAAAATTTATAACAACATTGACTGCTTGAATATCAATCCCTCTAGTAAACAGATCTGCACTCAACATGAAAGAAAAGGTTACTAAATCGATCAAAAAGATACATTAAACATTACACAATATAATTACAAAGAAGTGCACTTAGTTATCAACTTGGAAAAAAGAGGACTCAAAGAAAATCGGGTGTGAACAATTCAATATCAAGTCAGAATCATCATCTATCAACAGGCACAAGGACAAGACCATCAAGCAATAGACAAGAAATGACAGAGAGTTGAAAAATACCAAGTATAAGAAAGAGATTGACGCAACAACCAAGATAAAAGGGAAACTACACAAACATTCTCAGTTAACTCACCTGGACTAGTTTCAGGAATCAGGGAGGCACCCATAAAAAAGAAAGTGCAAACACACCATAACCTAAGTTGCTCGGACTCGGGTGCGAGTATCTAACACGGGTACGGATCCGAGAGTCGGATTCAGCAAAATCTAAATTTTAAGATCCGGGGATGCGGATCCAGGTATGGATACGGGTGCTAGGATTTGGCTAAGAAAATTCAAAATTATAAATACAGCTATAAATTCTAATATTTCATTCAGAAAGTATCCCTCTTTTCTATGAGAAAGAAACATTTATAAATAGCATAATTAGGTGCCATTCAATTACGTGTCACAAGTAGCATATAGTGGAAAATAAAGGGATCATTTTATTAAGTTACAATTAGAGTCCTTTAGGAACTGCAGTTCTCTGCTTTGTTCACGTCTTTTTGGTCATCTTCCCCAAGACCCCAAGTGTTTTAAAATCTGTTTTATCTTTTATTTTGCGAAATCAAAATCTCAAATTTTCTCCCAAATTTGTCCATGGACTCCGGTCAAAGTATCCGACGTTGGTTGACCGAATCCCAAACGTATCCCGCACCCGTCCCGTGTCAAGACGGGTTCGGCATCAAAAATGAAGAGTTTGCGCAACTTAGACCATAACTAACAAAGGGTAAATCCAACCACCAACATTGATGACAAGCTGCCCCTTGAAAACCAGCATTAACAACAAAAAATGATAGCAAGTATGAGTACTAGTAGTTTCAAGCAGATGCCATTTATCGTACCAGTACAAACAAGGTTCCTGCAGGCACCATTGCGGAAGTCGTGAAACACTCTGTTCCTGTGATCTTGAAGCATCTTTGCATGGATGTAGAAGCATGAATAGCCTAGCTCTGTGATCTTCTTGGCGAGAAGTTCCACACGGTTTACAGAGTTACAGAAGATAATTGATTGGTTGATTTGAAGCTGCAAAAAGTTTTAAAATGTGTGAATTGCAGCAGATTTCAAAATATCCAAGCAAAGTTATGTTATATACTGACCTTTGAGAATAAAGTGTTGAGGCAGTGAAGCTTCTGCCTTTCTTCTACAAAAGCATAAAATTGTGTTATACCCTTGAGAGTAAGTTCGTCCATAAGGTTGATAACATATGGCTTCTGCAGAAATCTATCTTTGAAGTCCTTGACTGTGACAGGGAATGTAGCAGAGAACATTAAAATTTGACGATTTGCTGGCAAGAAACGAATCAGCTGCACAATGGAAGGTTGGAACTCCGGAGAAAGAAGCTTATCAGCCTGAAGAACATAAGTACACACAAAGATAGAATAACTAGTCATGTTGAGTGTTGTTTTCAGTCGAAACAGAAAGATGCCATATGTGGGAATCAGTCCTTAGGGAGAAATCATTCTGAGAAAGTAATAACATTGTAGGTTCTAAGTGAATAGAATAACCAAACCAGCTTTTTTTTCAAATAAAGTCATGACCGAACTAGCTTATGCTAGCATATTTTCCCACATTAGTTAGAAAAGGAAACCTTACATGCCGCCAGAGACCTTATGTTGACCTTATGTGAAATAGTACTTTATACTAAGGCACTCAAACAATTTTTTGTTATAAGCATGCAGTCGAACAATTAATAGCAAGTTATCATCCTTTCAGTCTTCTCTGTATTCTCTCAAGAAGACAATTGATAAAGATTTAGTTCCACCAAATATAAAGTGGGGAAAAGGGAAGAAGAATTACCTCATCCATGATAAGCATGGAGCAATCTTTCAAAACACATATTCCCTTTCTCGCAAGGTCAAGTATTCTTCCAGGAGTTCCCACTAGTAAATGAACTGGTTGATAGAGTCGCATTATATCATCCTTCAAGCTGGTACCCCCAGTGGTAACCATGACTTCAATGTTTAAGTGCTTCCCAAGTTCTTTACAAATTTGAGATGTTTGAAGAGCCAATTCTCGTGTGGGAACAAGGATAACAACTGCATCAGAGACACCAGACAAAGGTAAAAACACAAGCTAAAACTGAGTGATACAAACTTCATTTCTATGAAGAACAATAAAAAAACAACCATTTCTTTTTTGTTGCAAAGGAGGCTATATCAATCTTTAGGACCAGTAAACCTCATCAATAAAACTTCTTAACCAAAATACAAGCAAGTCATAACAGCAGGTGTATGTTTAACTGAACTGTATATGACAAGAGGGTTGCTGCAAAAGGAGAATTAGTTATAAAACTATCAGCACATGCAAGACTGAGAGAACACTCTCTTTCAAAACCTTTAGATTGCCACAAAGTTTACTCCATTGTTTTACCTATTAGCCTGCAATATAGGACATGATATGCTCCCCCCCAGGCCATAGTTCATATCTTTCAATACGCGCCATCAAAATGCACCAGTATAAATAACAACTTTCATGAGCCCATTCAACGTGCAACCAACTGAGAAGGAATTGCCATTTATATTTTATCTAGAACTCTAAAATTATGCCAAGTCAAGGTATGAACTTCAGCTACATTATTAAACAAACCAGCCCGAGCTTGAGATGCTGACATCAACACAGACTCGAGCTTAACTAGGTTTAACTCAAGCTCTTCATAATGTAAAAGTATTTTCATGATTGAGTAAGAGTTTGCATTTATGTTAAAAATAAATCATATAAAAAGAGCAAAACTTCCACAAGTTCCTTTTATTACAAGCTTTACATGTTCCCCTTCACAGAATAAGTGCACACTAATGCACTTACATTGAAATTAAATTCAGAAAATTACTCTGCAAAAGAAGTTTGTTTGTGTCATATAGATGCACACATAATGTTTCCATACTGCTATGTTGCAATTCCACTAAGAAACAGGAATGTTTTATAGGGGCCTAAAAGAGCCAAGCTGGCTGAACTCAATTACTAAATGATATGCCATGTATTCGAACCAATAAAGGGTTCACAAAATAACTATGAAATGCTTGTAAGAACCTTGAATGGCGTTGACGTCCTGATCAATTTTTTCCAATGCCGGAATGCAGAAAGCAGCAGTTTTCCCAGTTCCATTTTTGGCCCTAGCCAAAATATCACTCCCAGTAAGAGCGATTGGGATACTTTCTTCCTGGATAGGAGATGGTCTCTCAAAACCCTTCTCATAAATTCCCATAAGCAATTCACGCTTAAGAAAATAGTCTTCAAATTCATTTCCCTTGGTCGCTGTCACATCCTACCAGAAAAATAAATGGTTAGCACAGCAACTAAGGTAAGTCCAAAGGAGACAAAGAAACATAGGTGCAAATGCAGAACAATGAGAAATGTCTTCCTATAAAATAGTTTACAATCACCACCATAAAATGAAACCAAAAAATGCAATGATAAACAAACCAACTTAATGAACATGAGGATAACAAATCAAGATATGCAGAAACCAAAATATCTAGGTGAGGCATTACTGATGTTACATTTTTTTTTTGATTTGCACCGGGTGTCCGAGTCTCTTTGAGCCCCCGACTAATCCCGGGGGTGCACAGGCCCTCGGCAAGGAGTTTCCCGCAAGTGCACCACGGTTAATTCAGGTTTTACCCAGTCCGATGGCCCTCAGAAATTGTTTGCACCCAGTGGGTTTCGAACTTGAGACCTTGAAAGGGAGCAAACCCCAAGGCTCAAGTCAATTACCACCAGGCCAACCCCTGAGGGTTACTGATGTTACATTAACCTAGTATTAAAAGAATATAGAAAATTAATAGTGTAGAATCATAATATCCCCAACATATAAACTGCTAAATATCACATAAATAGCCCTTGCATGCAAAATATGACACGCCACAAGAAAGAGCAAAAATTGCAGGACTCCTGGAACAGAAATTCCTGACTTCCCACAACTCTACAGAAGCAACTTGTTATTGCTATTCCACTAAAACTGGCCACTTGCACTCTTAATCAATGCCAAGCCTCTTTGCACAAGGGCACTTAACAAGTTTTCAGGAACACAATTACAGAGATGAAAGATGAAGATGGTATAGTTCATAGACACCATACAGGAAAATAAGAAGGTACGACATGACTAAGGGAAAACCTCATAAGTAAACTGAAGAATACACTATATACTAAAAGAATGACAGCAGCTTTAGCTTTGTTAGAAGTTTAAGAGGGTATTTGGGTATATATTGATCTGTGTCAACTGCTTAAACTGCTTGAGATGGGGCCCCTTTATTTATCATTTCAGATCTGCGACACGCCCAGCCCTTATGAGCAGCATGAATCTTTTTCCTGGACAAAAGATGTAGAAACATTTTGTTTATGCAGCACAGTGAGACTCAACCACATGACTGATCAACTACCATGTTGAATGGTGCGAACTGTCTCATTTAAAAGTTTAAATGGTTAGATAAGGCAATGTTATCAAAGGTGGAAAGCACAGGAAAGAGCTAAGTGTCAGCTCAAACTTTAAGCCCAAAGCCTGGGTAAAAGCTAAGGCAAGAGAAAATATTAAATGTGTGTATGTAATGCAAGAAAAAATAAACATAAATACAAACATTTATATGCACCAAAGAATTGAGAAACTGCAACCAATCGGAATACATAAAGTAAAGATTATGTCAATTAAGTTTAAATGTCACCTCAAATTTCTGAATTAGATGCAAGATTCAAAATCAGATGAGTGACTAGTTTTCTTTTACAAAATTTACAATTTCCTATTTCGAATCACCAACAAATTATCAATTAAGTTTCTCAACTTAGTATATCAATTTTTCTATTTATTATCTAGAGTTGTCCTCTTTAAGACAGAGCCATGGGCGTTGAGATGTGCACAACAATGCACTAAACTGCCAGTTAGACGAGGCAAAGCATCTAGCCTATTTTATACTGAGATTCAAGGCTCAGATGTGCCTTAAGCAGCCCTTTTACAACACTAAGAAAGGGGAATTATTCTCTATCATTGACTTCACCTAAACTTGACCATTTGTTTTGCATAGCGGTGGTGGTCGAGCGAAATTGCACACACCTCAACCTTCCACTGGATGACTGCTAGTTTGCCACCTCCCACCAACAGAAATACTGGGTAACTTTGTGCACAAAGACTTAAGCAGATGGAAAGAGATCACCTAGTGTTTTTGGCGTTATCACTAACTTCACCTAAACTTGACCATTTTTTGGATAGAGGTGGTGGTCGAGCAAAATTGCACAAACCTCAACATTCCACTGGATACTTGCTAGTTTGCTACCTCCCACCAGCACAAGTACTGGGTAACTCTGTCCACGAACTTATACAAATGGAACAAAATCACCTAGTGTTGTTTGTCTTTATTGGAATTTGAATCCTAGTCCCCAAGGTTTGCATGCACTTCATTGATCACTCGGCTACACTCTTGGGTGCTAAATTTGAACATTTTTACAAACCATGTTTCAACTTTTTATCATGAACTAAAGACTTAATAGAGAAGAGAGCCAAAATAAAGTCAGAATATGGCAAAAGCATCCTTCATACGAATGAGCTTTGAGCTTTTTCTTTCTGAAGCAAAGATCTAAGATTGTTACTTGAATTTTCAAGATGTGCCTGTCATATATCAAACTATAGATAGCAGGTTACAACCTTGAGAGGCTGCATCCAGTGATGTCACATTTTGTATACATGTCAATGATGATTTTAAGGATGATCCTAACTGAGGTTGTCTCCGAACTTCACATCAACTTCTCAAAAGATTCTCTCTTTCCGGTAAATCCGTTGTCAAACATTCACCAGTTGGTTAGCATCAAACAGTGTAACATTGCTTCTCTTTCCCACGATTTATCTAGGATTTCCTTTGGGGGAAAAGCACAAATCCATCAACATGTGGAATGGGGTTCTCGAGAAGATGGGGAAAAAAAGGTTGGCAAACTGAAAAAGGCAGTATTTACCCTTCGGGGGAAGAGTCACTCTCATCAACAGTTTTTTGATGCTCTTGCTACCTACACCATGTCTCTCTTTCAAGAACCGATGTCAATCTTAAAGCGTATGGACAGGCTGAGAAGAGATTTTCTATGGAAAGGTAACAAGCAGGGCAAACCTCTGTCTCATCAAATAGGAAGAAAGGGGTCTTGGTATTAAGAACATGAAGTGGTATTGGAGATTCAATAGGGAGAACGCCCTATGGAGAGATTACTGGCTGGAAAAAAACACTTTGAGTAATTCTTGGAGTCAAATGCACCTCGTGGTAAGTTTGGAAGCATATCCATTCTTATGGAGGCAAATTCTCAGACAATTCTGATTTTTTACTTGGAAATGGTATGAAAAATATATTTTCGGAAGATGCTTGGTTGGGTCTCTCACCCTCAGAGATCAATTTCATGATATCTATAGCATTTCTTCTCTTCACAATGCCGTGGTAGCTGATTTTTCCACTTTACAAGGCTAAGATCTTTTTCTTCAGAAGGAATTTAAATGATTGGGAAGTTCAAAGAACTCATTTTGAGGAAACAAAAATCAGATTCTATAATTTGGTAAGGACAGTCAAATGGCCTCTTTTCTGTGAAACCTTGTTACAAGCTATTAAATACTCACGACACAGTGGCATCTATCCATCAAAGAGCATCTGGGATGATAATGCCTGAAAGTCTCAAGTTTCTCTTGGTTAGTGGGTGGCCACCCAAAAAAGAGGCTTTCAGATTTGTAGTAGATGTCCTCTATGTGAAAAACATTCCGAAGATGTCAAACACCTTTTCCTTGCAACAACAATAACTACGCCTTTGTCCTAAACAAAGTTGGGGTATCCTTACTTCTTTATTTAATAAGTTCAACTCATATCATCATCATGCCAAAACAAAATAATAGTAGTGAAAATAACTTTTTTATAAATAACACGAGTAATAATATAAAAAAAATAGTAATATTCAAAGCTTATTCTTAGCTAGTATGTATCACCTATATAGATCTTTTTCTTCCATTGTGCCCTATCCTTAGCTAAGTTTGCATTGATTCCAAGGATTTGTAGGTTTTTTGAAACAACTTTTTTACATGTGATTTAAGGTCTACCTCGTCCCATTTTAACACCTTCATTTACCATAGTTTCACACCTATGGACCGGTGCATCTGTCGGGCGACCACAGAAAAAAACACCTTATTACTATCCAAAAAAATACAACCTAAAACTAACTGAAAACATTGCCGTAGTACAATCACTCCAGAAGCTTAACCATAGAAGGCTAGTTCTGCTCCTACCGGAGCAAACTCTCCATCACCTAAGTTATCAACAGCACCTCCAACCCAAACCGGTCTTGGAACACAAACCTCACCCAGGCGAGTAAATCAAAAGATGCTTGCACTTACAAGATCCCTCCCAATATATATTTCCCAAATACTGTTATGGATACTGCTTTAAGTGACATCACTTTGGATGCTCAAACACAAACAACAGAAGGCTTAAATTCATAATATTCTTATTCCTTAGCTACATATTCTTTCTTTTTTTATTTGATAACCGAGAAATCCAAAAGGGTCGGTGGGACATGGTTCGAATTTTATAAATAATCCATATTTTCTTAGCTATATATTCCGACAACATCCATGACCAAAAAAATGATAAGGCCACAGTCCTGGACTGGCAACTAAAGAGGGGGGGGACCAGGCATTCTATGTAAGTTGGACATAAAGAAAGCCTTTGATCAATTAAATTGGGTGTATCTTATCTCAATACTCAGTCAGATGGGGTTTGGCAACAGGTGGATCAAATTTAATATCTCCACGGTCAAGTATTCGATCATAGTCAACAAAAGCCCGGTTGGTTTCTTCTCACCACAAAGAGGTTTGAGGCAGGGAGATCCCCTCTCTCCCTTCCTATTCATATTTGCTATGGAAGGGTTAAGCAGAATGTTAGACAAGGCCAAACGACTACAATGGATAAGAGGATTTGATGTGGGAGTTCAGAACAATATCAATATCTCTCATTTGCTATATGTTGATGACACTCTGATTTTATGTGGTACAGACAAAGATCAGGTGCTTCATCTAAATCTAACTCTTCTTCTTTTTGAAGCACTTTCAGGTTTAAATATCAATATGCTCAAGAGTGTGATCTATCATGTCAATGAAGTTCATAATTTGGAGGAGCTAGCAAGAATTCTGGGTTGTAATATTGGCACACTTCCTACCACGTACCTGGGCCTACCATTGGGAGCAAAGCACAACTCTTCAACAATATGGAACGGGGTCATTGAGAAATTTGAGAGAAGATTAGCCTCCTGGCAGATGCAATACCTTTCAATGGGTGGTAGACTCACACTAATCAATAGTGTCCTAGACAGCATTCCCACATACTACATGTCACTACATCATATGCCCAGCAAAGTGTTAAATCAGTTGGACAGGATAAGGCGAAATTTCCTTTGGGAAGGGAATAGCACTGAGCATAAGTTTCACTTGGTGAAGTGGAAAAAGGTCATCCTCCCAAAACACCAAGGAGGATTGAGAATCAAGGACCTGGCAATTCACAACAAATGCCTACTGATGAAGTGGCTTTGGAGGTACACACAAGAGGAGCAACCTTTGTGGAAGATGGTGGTCAATGCTAAGCACGGAACTCAAGGCAATTGGTACACTAAACTCACAAGAGCACCCCATGGTGTGGGAGTGTGGGAGTGTGGGAGTGTGGGAGTGTGGAAGTGCATACGCAGATTTTGGGAGGAATTCTCTGATCACCACCACCTTACATTTGGGAATGGACAACAAATCAAATTTTGGAAGGATAAATGGTTTGGGAATTCAGCCCTAAGGACTGACTATCCTAACCTGTTCCAGATTGCAAGTGATCCTGACTCTACAATCATTCAAAATAAGGATGGCCCCATTTGGAATGTTACTCTAAGAAGGAATTTACAGGACTAGGAGGTTTCTGATTATGTTCGACTGCTAGAGGCACTACTTGGCGTCACACTAAATGAGCACATCACATATAAGTTCAGATGGGGAGGAACAAGTGATGGTAGGTATTCTGTGAAGGTAGGGTACAAGCTGCTAATGGCTAGAAATGGAATTACCGATCTTTGGCCATGGAAATTAATATGGAGAACCAGATTACCACCCAAGGTCATCTGTTTCAGCTGGACTGCACTTTATGAGGCATGTTTGACTCAAGAGAACCTTGTCAAAAGGAACTTCCAGTTAGTTAATAGATGCTACATGTGTCAAAGGGATGCAGAAACCAACAACCACCTATTCCTACATTGTAGAGTTGCAGCAGATATTTGGAGCATGTTTTGCTCTGTTTTTGGTATTAGCTGGGTTATGCCTCACAACATGAAGGAGGCATTTCAGAGCTGGGGCAGCTGGAAAGTTGATAAAACCATCAAGAATATCTGGAAAATGATACCTGCTTGTATTTGTTAGAGCATATGGAATGAAAGAAATAGAAGATGCTTTGATGGACTTTCAACTCCTAAGTACTACACCCTAAAAGCTAAATGCCTTTTGTTTTTATTTAGCTGGGCAAATGTTTCCCCCGTAGATTCCCCCGACACATTTGTGAACTTTGTTAGCTTTTTGTATCTAAGTTAGCATTCATGTAGTAAGCTAAGAGGTGGTCTTTTTTTTGCTTTTTGAAGCTTTTATGCTTCTGCTTCTTGTAATATTTTGCATCTTCTTGATGATATCAATGAAGCCAATTATTTCATCAAAAAAAAAAAAATGATAAGGCCAAAGAAAAAATTATGAGATGTTTCTATAACCACATTCTTTAGCAAGTACCACTTCATTTTACTACATTTAATTTATGAAACAGCCAAAGTGAACATAAAGTCTGAGTTACACAAAAGAAAAAATTTTAAACATGATTTCTAGGAAGAATAAGAACGAATATGGCTTTAACAGTGTGATCATCAAGAGAATAAATCAAGATAAATTCAACTAATAGCATATAGGTTGACAAATGCAAGTTACCTCTGTCCTGTATCGAGTATCAGGTGCTGGGATGTTCAACCTCGCCTTCCAGTCTTGTGAACTAGAGAAGAGGAAAAAGAGAAGATTTAGCTCTCCATTTTAAGGTTTAAACCATGTTCATCAGCATAGTTGATAAAATAAACCAGACACATGAAACATATAATCCCAAAAACCTTCCTAACATTATAGACAAGTGTTAAACAGTTGGACTTCGAGGAAAGATGTTTCATCCCCAACTAAGAATCAGAATTATACATCATTAGAAGCTAAGTTCCCTCGAAAGTGAAGACACCCCTTTGCCTAAGGCCCTTATGGCTCGGCATTAGTGACTTGTGTCAGATGAGCAGACTTCACAAGATTATTTCCCCCCCCATCCGAACATTCCTATTGTCTGCAGGAATCATATCGAGATTCACAACCAACTCTTTCTCCATTGTCCCACAGTTCACAAGATGCAAGGACATGTAGCCTTAATTTTGTGACATGGGTATCTAAGCATTGCAAGCTCTTGTATTGCTGAGCCCAATTTGTTGCATTTAAACAAACAGTGTAAAATCTATGAGAAACAACATTCTTCATTTACGAGAAAGCAGTTCCAACAACCATATGACTAGCTAAAGCACTCTGTCCATGAAAAATGACACATGTCAATATCTTGTGAACCTTATACAGCCCTGTCTAATCACATTTGCATCCTAAAGTGTCAACTATTAAGCTGTCTTTAATGCCAGAATTATTTAAGACTTGTGAATTAGCAAAATCTAAGTAAAGCCAGCAAACAGTAAACTCACTCAAGATTGAGCTCGGTGAAGGTACGTATTCATGGACCAAGCTTATCCTAACCTGAAAATAGAACACTCTCTACCTCCATCGTTAACCCCCTTTTCTCGAAGCTCAAAGTTGATCCCAACCACAAGTTTAAGACTTGTGAATTAGCTAAATTAAGTAAAGCCAGCAAACACTAAACTCACTCTAGAATGAGCTCGATGAAGTACTCATGGACCAAGCTTATCTAAAGTTGAAAGTAGAACACTCTTACCTCCATCATTAACCCCACAACAACAACAACAACAACAACCCAGTAGAATCCCACGAGTGGAGTCTGGGAGGGTAGAGTGTACGCAGACCTTACCCCTACCCCGAAGGGATAGAGAGGTTGTTTCCGGGAAACCCTCGGCTCAGAGATAATAGATCCGTAACAACAACAGAAACCAGAAAAGTAGTATCAGCATCGTAAAATACAGCAAATAAATGGAAAGGCCAAAATATGAAAGACAGAAAAAATGTGAAACACAATAAAAACCGCTAGCAGTTCTAGACAAAACACTATCAGACTAGCCAGCGCAACGAGGGAAACGCTCGACTACCCCCTTACCTACAACCCTAATGCTCGACCTCCACACCTTCCTATCATTAACCCCCTTTATCGAAATTTAAAATTGATCACAATTCCCAACCACAAGCTTTCAAGCGATACACACTAATACTATGTCAGTATCCATGTATATTGTTCTATATAGAGCGATTTAACTCCCCAACAGGGAGAGCAGATGGTGGGCATCTCCCTCAACAGGAAGGGAAACAAGAGAGTACTCCAGTTTCTATCATTTCACATAGCACACTTTCTGCAGTCCGTTTAGGAGGGTCTGGGTACTCAAGATATCTCATCATGGGTTTTCATCCTCAGACATATGGGCAAGTAGAGAGGACTATTTAGATGCTCTAGGACATGTTGCGACCATGAGTTATTGATTTCTGGATAATCGGTGATACGATCCTGGAAAGCACAGATAGGTTTTACCTGTTTCTACTTACCAGGCTATCAGTACACTGAAATATTTCTACCTGCAATTACAACTTTCCTGTAATGCACCCTAGTAAAAGCTCAAAACTAATTTAAACAAAGAGGATTAAGTACAAATTTTCAATGATGACACCCACTAAATCATTAATTCAACTAAATTCCCACAATTATCTCCAATTTAAAAATTCTAATTTGTATACTATTTTTGTATGAACAACTACCCTATCTTAATTTAGTAGAAAGATTCCAATCCTACCACAAACTAACCAACCGAAACTTGACAATGTCATCCATATGTTTCAAACAGAAGTCAAATTCAGCCTAAACTTAAACTCGTCGAACAAACATTCTCCATATGCAGGGTAGAGGACCCAAGTAGGGGAACTAGGTGTGGTCCAAACTTTATACATATCGCTCAAAATATTACTCCTTCCGTCCCATTTTATGTGAAAGTGTGTCAAAAAGGGGAGACAGAGGGGAGTAATAAATATTCATGTGACTCTCTTTCCTTTTTAGTATACCCCAAGAAAATAACATATTTCTATATTAGAAAATAACTTACTTTAAACTTCTCATTATAACTTTAATGAGATTATTTATAGCCACAAAAATATCTACAACTTTTTTGAGATCACAAATTTCAGAAGTCATTCTTCCTTTAAACTTCGTGTCCAGCCAAACATTGTCACAAAAAAAAGATAACTATAGTACTATTTATTTGATATTATCTCCTTTTTACTTTGTTCCAAGGAATGATATATTTTTATATTTACAAATCATCTAACTTTAAAATCCTCATTTTATCTTAATAAGATGATTTGTAGGCACACAAATGTTTATGGTTTATTTCAGACCACAGTTTCAAAAGTCTTACTTTATTTCTTAAACTCTTTATCGGTCAAATACCATTACATAACATAAACTGGGACGGAGGAAGTATTAAATATTTTTTACCAACTTCACACCCTTTTCACATAAGGGTAATGAGTACGAGAGAGGTGTGGGTGAAAAAGAATGAACCCCATAATTTCTACACATAATATGTGTGTTTGAAAAGCCACTAATAATATTTCAACAAATATTAAATTCGGAACTCATATTTTCAAAAGTACGATGTGTTCTGTCCTAAGAATTAAAAAAAATTGCACTTGTCAAGCTTAAATCTTGAATCTGCCTCTGAGTACCAGCAGTACTATTCGCCTCACTAACAGATGCTTAAAAATCTGAGTGGATCCGAACATATGGACACACAAAAACAAATAAATAAAGAAAGAAAGAAACAACTACCTCTGGTCAAGTGCTTCAGATTGAACAGTTTTTTCAACCTCATCGATCGACGAATCAGACGCCGCCAACTGTTGGCTCCTTCTGAGCCATTGCTGCTGCTGTGTTATCTGTTGTTGGTTCTGATAATGCTGCTGCTGGTGCTGCTGCTGGTGATTCATCGGATTTCTCTGCACATACTGCTGCTGAGGGTTTCTTTGTTGAAAATTAGGGTTTGCGTTAGGGTTAGGGTACATGTTTCCGCCGCCACGTCCTCCGCCACCGCCTCCCATTCCCGGCGGCGGATATCTTCCCCCTCTCGGATTCATCGCCAATGAAGAAAAAACCCTAAAAATTATAACGAGCGTAAAATTTGATGAAGTGAAAATGAATTAGTAATATAACACTATGAATATGAAGAATATTTGGTGAATCAGACGAAATTGTGAAGAAAATTTTAGTGAATTGGATGAAATCTTAGGGGAAATAATTGCAGGGATCGTGGGCCTAGGGCGTAAAAGAGATTTGTTAAAATTGCAAGAGAGGTCACTTCATTTATACCTTTTTATGGAACGGGCGGATTTATACTTGTTATAATTGTAATAAGGGTCTCCAATTTAAAGTGAAATGCAAGTAGAGCCTTATGGGTTGTTTGGTTGGTGTTTTAGAAGATATATAACATAAGAATAAGCCTTAGTTAATACTTAATACACCTTGTTAGCTTGGGATTTGAGGAGCTTTAATCTCTACATAAAAAATAAAATTAATTAATGCAATGTTTGGTTTTTCCTTTTTGTTCTCGTCATAAATAATATGTGTGTAAGTTATGTTTATATTTTATTACTTTAAGTGAGATAGAATGTGGAATAAAAATAAAAGTATTAATAATACATAAATTAAAATGATAAATTTTAACCTTCATAATAGTAAGAAAAAAAGTTTTGTTTAAAAAGTAAACAAATATGTTAAATTATCTATTGTATACTATTTTGTAATAGAGCAAACTAACAATTTGACAAGAAAGATTTCTGCATTATACCTTGCATTACTCATTTTTATATTATTAATCTTTACATTACAATTCTATACAACTTTCCTCTAAACCAAACAACGCTATCGTAGGAGAGCTTAATTTATTGTCTCCAATAATCAAACACAACATTTTTTTCTTTTAGCAGCCAAACTCTCAAAACCTGTGGACGTACTACAATTTTCTTTTTGCAAAGATGGGGCGGGGGTAGTAGAGATAATTTATAGTGGCTAACTTAAAATGTAAGGTTATGATTGAACCACTATAAAATGATTATCAGTGTGTGGTTGCTAAAAGACAGAGCATATTAGGTATAAATTATTTGAGGCATGATAATTTATTCAAATAATAGATAAGTATCAATTTTTTGCGTACTTATCATTTTTTAGTGGGTTGCTCTGATGGTAAGCACCCTTCACTTCCAATCAAGAGCTTGTGAGTTCGAGTCACCCCAAGAGTAAGGTGGGGAGTTCTTGAAGGGAAGGATGTCGAGGGTCTATTGAAAACAGTCTCTCTACCCCAGGATAAGGGTAAGGTCTGCGTACACACTACCCTTCCCAGAACCCACTAATAGAATTATACTGGATCGTTGTTGTTGTACCATTTTTCAGTGGTTGACTTAACAAATCAAAAGGCTACTTCTTAGTTCTTGTGCACTCCCTTGTTGACTTTGGTCAAAGAGTATATTTCAAGATAGAAGCAAAACATAGAAGATAAGTCAAGTATGAGAATCTTGAAGATTTGGAGAGTAAAATTTTTATTCAAAATACTGACACAGCTTTATGTTTTGGAGTTTATATATGGAGGTTGGTTGAATAGCTTCTTTAATTTTTTGAATTATTCATTTTCTTAAGCTTTATGTTTGAATCATTCTATGTGTGGTTAATGGAGATGGCTGATATTCTTTATTAGATGATGATTTAACGCAATTTATATTAGTCATGCATAGTATTTTGATCTAAGATCTTAGTTCTTTCGTTTTTCAGCAATGAGATATTCTTCAATAGAGCTTAAGGTTCAAAATATAAAAAATCTAAATGTTTTCGATTTGGTTCGAGTTAATTCATCTTTCATGGCTACATATGTTTTCGGCTAAGAAATGAAATATCAGTGCCAAAGAAAGGGATTTCTAAAAGCTGATACATATACTCATTAGTTTGAAGTGGAGATTATGAGGAGATAATAGAAGAACCTGTGGAACGTAGTTTTGTCTTTTTTAATATTCCTGAATCAAAATCTCCGCATCCAATTGCAATTGTCATTTTGACAGTTGTCTGTCGTGGTTAAAGCACATGAGCAGTGGGTTGCTCTAGTGGTAAGCACCCTCCACTTTCAATCAATAACTTGTGAGTTCGAGTCATCCCAAGAGCAAGATGAGGAGTTCTTGGAGGGAGGGAGCCGAGTTTCTATCGGAAATAACCTCTCAATCCCAGGGTAGGGATAAGGTCTGCGTACACCTACCCTCCCCAAAACCCACTAATGAGATTATACTGGTTGTTGTTATTGTCTGTCTCGGTTAAAAGTAGTTTTTTATAATAGTATATAAATTTCGTCTTTTAACTCATTATTAGGGGCAAATCTATAGTATCAGACTATCAGGTATGGGTTTTCACGAATCAGTATAGTATCTTGTTTGGAGGGTAAATTTCATAAATGGTCATATAACTATAATTTTTTTCACCAAATCCATATAACTTTGTTTTCTCACACAAAAATTATATAATTATAATTTTTTTTCATCAAAGTCACATAACCATGTTTTCTCATACAAAGATCATAAAACTTTTACTAACTTACACAAAAATCATAGCGATCACAAATTATAATTTTTAAGTAATATTTGTTTATTTTGTGGTTTTTTATTTTTTATTTTCAGTATAATAAATAATAATATAATTAAAATAGGAATGACTCAACCTGACCTAGCCCACCCGACCCAATACTCAAACAACAACAACAATAATATACTAAGTATTATCCCACATTGTGGGGTATGGGAAGGATAGCATGTACGCAGACCTTACCCCTACCTTGTGAGGATAGAGAGGCTGTTTTCGATAGACCCTCGGCTCAGAAAAGTATAAGCACTACATTAATGAAAATATAGACAAGAAGGGACAGTAAGCAGAATAAAAACAACAAGACAGTAAGGTGATCAACAATGAAAGAAAATAACGGTTAGTCGTAAAAACCTACTACCAACAGAAAGCGAGACTGCGTGTCAATACTACTGTTATGAACACTCTAGACTACCTACTCTACTACCCCAATCCTCGACATACATACCTTCCTATCAAGGGTCGTATCCTCAGTCAGCTGAAGTTGCGTCATGTCTTGCCTAATCACCTTTCCCCACCTCTTCTTTGGCCTACATCTACCTCTCCGTAGGCCCTCCAATGTCAAC